CTTATTTATAGAATGTTCATGCGGAAGCACATAAACCTTAAATAAAAAAATTTTAAATGAGAATCACTTGGTTTAAATCTCATTATCTTTAGGATACCAATAAATCAACTAGTCACATTGTGATTCAGTTTCCTCATTTTTGAAATGGGTGTATTACCTTTTGCCTAACATTCCTTACTAGGATATGATGAAGAATAACTGAAATACATATATTAAAGCATGTTGAAAACTCCAAGGTGCTATATAAATGCTAGTTGGCATTGAGAGCTATTCCTCATCCTCTTTTTGGCCATAGCCACTGAAGCCCTAGCCCGGCAGGAAAGAAGAGTCATTAGGCATTGTCTGGCAACTTGGCTCAGAGAAGTCAGATCAGTCCCCAAGAGTCTGGTGAGGCTGCAGCAATGACTAGAAAGAACCAGTGACGTGGTTGCCAGGTAGATGCCAATCCAAGTCCAGAGCCTGCGCAGACATTACTATGCACTCTGTCCTCTAACCTCCTAGTGTATCCACCTTAGCCACTATCTTGTTCATGATCTTTTCCTGAACTAATGTGTGTACATCTACAGTGGTGTAGATGTACACCACTGTGTAAACTCTATCCATAACCTCAAAGTGGTTTCTTATCACCTTTAAATTACCCCCAAAGTCATGTTCACATGAATTAGAAGGGTTAGGGCTCTCATCTCAGTTCTATCTCCTCCTTACCCGGTAAGAGGTCGAGATTTCTGGGCCCAGGAAGTAGGTACTGCAGAGTCCTTCAAGATAACTAGGGTCTTCTATGAGAGAACATGTTTCTACTGACTTCATTGAGCAACCTTTCCAGGGGTGTCGAGTTCCTCTTTGCCAGGTGCTAGGCAGAAGTCTGGCCAAGATTGCACGGAGGATTCTAAGGCTTAGGCCTGACTCAGGGCTTCTATCCTACTGAACCAAACTTGCAACCTCAAGACACTTCTTCCCTAGTTTGCATCCTCCTGGTCTCTACTTCTTCTTCCCTGAACACACTCATTTTGACAGATAATTTCAAGGAAAAAAGAAGATGTCAAATAAACAGTTTGAAAAGTGTTTTTTGTGGTTGCTCTGAAGTCCAAGAATAATTTTTTCATTATATTTGTAAATACTTAAGGACCGAATACTTAAATGATTGTAATAAAACTGTAACAAATAATCAAAATGCTTGCCTTCTGTGAGCCTACGAGGGTATTTTACTATGCCACATATGGTATTATTTCAGCTTGGATATTTTTCCTGAAACAGGAAACATTTTAATAATAAGTCCCACATAAAATTATAGCAATGATATCTGTCCCAAATAGAAATTCTGTGTCCTATTGTTATTTCATCTTTTTCACAGTAAGACTTATAAATAAATGATTGTGATCTTTAGTGAAAGGAATATGGAGCCCTGGGAGGCCCAGATGCTCAACATAAAAATCTAGAGATAGAGGAGAGATGAAAAGATTGAGATAAAGCGATCTGCTGATGCTACAGAGAGAAGCAACATAGATCTCAAAGACAGATATAGGAGGGTAGAGAGAGACAGGGGCCCAGCAGTGCTAGGATTCAAGTCTATTTTTTTTCTTAAAATTATTGAAAATGTAGTGTAGGGTATGTTTGCTTGTTAGAATAAAAAGTATATATACATTTTAATTTTGGAAATTTTCACAGCTGCACTCAGTAAGGTAACTAACAAACCCTAAATAATTATTTTAAGAATGCCTTCTTTACTTTAGCTTATGATAATCTCCTTTTAAGCCCTACAAATAAGCAGGGAATCCCATTTGTGTTTATATAACACAGCACATGATGAATTTAGCTGTAGCATCAGAATTCTACATTTGCTTTGAGATTTCAAGCACTTCACATACTGATGCTATAAGTTATATACCACCTCTAACCTGTAGAAAGAAGAAAAATTAATTGACAAAGCTGTTTTTTTTGTGTGTGTTTGTGACATTCCAAAGTCAGACAGAGGGTTCTGGTTTTAGTTACCATTGGGACTTTCAAATGGTCATTTGGCACTTGACCTATGGTGTTTTGTTCCAGAAAATAAGCAAAGTAAAATAATCCATGTAGCCCTTGAGGATCTGACAAAAGGCTGGGGTTGAGGGAGAAGGAGGAGGAGGGGAAATAATGACAGACTCTCTCTGTCCTGAGTCACCTCCTGGAGTTTAAGGTAGGCAGCTAAATCCCATTTTATCCATTCTCTGACACAGCAAACAGAGGTACTGCCAGTCAAGATAGATCACAAAAGGCTTGTATTTCATGTTTCATAAAAGACTAGAACAGTCACATCTTCTTACTGAGACAGGACTTTTTATCTGGGTAGAAATATAGAGAAAAAAATGCTAGATTTCTAACACTGAAGGGTCCATGTGCTTGACAGTGTGGAGATGTCTATTCAACAATGGCTTGAGAAATGTCAAAACTCCTGCCTTTTCCTCATCTTTGATCTATTAAACAAAGGGGCTTTTTCTAATTTTTATTTTGACCATTTCTTATTTTTGTTTTTCCTTTTTTATTTTAAATTAGAGACATATGCTTTTCTTGATTAAGCAGTATAATATGAATCAAATGCATTTTTAAGGGTGAGTGCCAAGAAAAAGATTTTGTAACTTAAGAAACCAAAACAACAGGTTGACCTCAACTGGAATCCCACAAAACCTCATTGTCTCAATACAAGGAAAAACAACATGATTTTAGTGCATATTTGTGAGGAAATAAGGAAGATTATATAACTTGTTTTTTCTTCCTATTAGAGGAAATCCGTAAGCTTCTTAAATTAACTTAGGAGCAATTTTTCTTTTAGGAGCAAAAGTATTTATTTTGGAACTATATGTGTGTTCATTTAACCAATCAATTTATTTAATCCTTCAATGTTTTGAGTACAATTTTAATTGTCAGGTCCTGTGCTAGGCTTAGGATACACATGGTGAGCCAAAAGAAAAGAAATAAAAACCAAAAAGCCAGTCACTGCTCTTCTCTTTCTTTACAGACAACAAATAAACAACAAAAACGTTGCACAGTTTCTCATTCATTCTGATAAATTGCCAGCAAGGAACAGATGAGATACTCTAATAGGGATGACCTTTACTTTTTCTTAGATAGGTGGGCAGAAAAGTCCTTCTGAGGCCATGGTATTTAAGATGAGACTTAAAGAATAAGGAGAAGAAGCTAGACACACAAAACAGAGATTTTTAAATGGCCATTGCTGGAGAGAAGTTTCAAAAGATGTAGTTATTATACAGTTTCCAAATATTCCTGAAGAGGTCTAAAGAAAATGTATTCCGACTCCACTTTTTATCTGTTTTCCTTTTTTTCCCTCTTTTTGAAATTTGTTATTTGGATATAGAATACCCTAGATTGATGCTCCAATTTTCTTATATTTCCTGTTTTGCTTGAAGTATTTTTTTTTGTTGTTTGTTTTTTGTTTTTTGAGACGGAGTTTTGCTCTTGTTACCCAGGCTGGAGTGCAATGGCGTGATCTCGGCTCACCGCAACCTCCGCCTCCTGGGTTCAGGCAATTCTCCTGCCTCAGCCTCCTGAGTAGCTGAGATTACAGGCACACGCCACCATGCCCAGCTAATTTTTTTTTATTTTTAGTAGAGACGGGGTTTCACCATGTTGACCAGGGTGGTCTCGATCTCTTGACCTCGTGATCCACCCGTCTCGGCCTTCCAAAGTGCTGGGATTACAGGCTTGAGCCACCACACCTGGCCGCTTGAAGTTTTAAGAAATGTTCTTAACTGTATTTTACAAAATTCAGTTGAGTCTTTATTGCTGCTTTCTTGTTTTCCTAACACCAGCATCTCTTACCCAGACTAATGAACCAGCCTACTCACTCATCTTTCTGATCCTATTCCTCTATATTATCCACCCCAATTCCAAGTAAATTCTTGTGTGGTCTTTTAGAAAGAATGTATGATTTTAAAATTTCTGCTTAAAATATTTGCTCATTTATTTGCACTTAGGATACATAGGATACTTATGATATTTAGCTTTGCTGACACTTAGGATACTTAGCTATGCTGACATCATGAAAGATGTGGGCCCTCCCTAGCACTTCAGTTTCACTCACATCATGCTGCTCTTTGGTTTTCTGTACTTTATCCTTATTGTCCAGCTTCCTTTCCTGGAATGTCCTGTGCCCCTCTTGACTCAGTCTCTGCATGTGCTGTTCCCTGTGTTTAGGTCTCCTTTGTCTAGGTACTTCTTTTATCTCTAAGTGCTCAAGTGTCATCTCATCTCAAGCATGAATTAGATGTCTTATCTTGTGCTTCTCATTGGGCAATATTGTAATGCTTAGTGCATTAGTCAGTTCTCTCACTGCTATAGAGAAATACCTGAGGCTGGGTAATTTATAAAGAAAAGAGGTTTAATTGGCTCACGACTCTGTACATTCTACACGAATGTACAGGAAGCATTGTGGCTTCTAAGGAGCCTCTGGGAAGGCCTCAGGGAGCTTTCAATCATGGTGGAAGGCAAAGGAGAAGCAAGTCATGTCACATGGCCAGAGGAGGAAGGAGAGGGGCAGAGGAGGAGCCACACAGTTTTAAATAACCAGATTTCATGATGACTCATTCATTCTGTATCAGGAGAACAGCACTGAGAGAGTGGTGCTAACTCATTCATGAGAATTCTGCTCCCATGATCCAATCACCTCCCATCAGGTCCCATCTCCAACACTGGGGATTACAATTCTACATCGGATTTGAGGAGGGACAAGATCCAAATCATATCACTTAGTTTACACACTTGTATCCCCGCCAGGCTGGGAGCTATTTGAACAGCTCTGTGTATCTTTGTATCCTCAATACAAAGCACACAGTCTTTGGCATATAGTGTTTATAATTGTTATGAATAAATAACATAGTTCATTTAATATGAAGAAAAAACTATCAGTGGAATAAAAAATCTATGCCTTAAAAATAGGTATGATTTTTAAGAAAAATATTTTTCAAAGAAGAGATTTTTGTAGAAAACAAACATTAACATTTTCTTACCTTCTTTGTTTTGCTCATTGCCTTCAGGATGGAAAGATTTAGGTCTTCAAGTGCTGCCAGTACATTCTCATACTCACCCAGGTGCTGAGAAAAATATTCTGAAAAGTGAAAATATTGAAATTAGTTCATGTTTGAGTTTAGATAATCATAAAACAAAAAATAATCAACTAATTATTTACTCCTTAAATGAGTAAAACAAAATGTCAGCTATAAATGAAAACTGGAAGTTTTCCAAATAAGACTAAATAAGGTGACAATCTGCTCATTTCACTAAAACATCAAGAAAAAAGAAAAAGGAAACCTGAATAATTACCATTATCCTTGAAGAAATGTTTCTTCCTACAAATGTAGGAAAAAATGAATTGGGATCTACTGGTAAGGGTGTTTCAATTAAAAAAAAAATTGTTTTTGACAACATATGAATATAGATCTCACTAGGATAGTAATTTTAGAAAAGAGTTAAGTTACATTTTATTGTTTTTGGAGGAAACATTAAGGAAGGTAAGCTCTCTTCAAGGTTAAGAGTCTGTGCTGCAAAACATGAGAGGGTCTTCTGTGGCCTCTCCATGTAGCCTTCCATGTAACTGTCCCTGTCATAATCTTTTTGTTTTTTTCAACAATTTGGGCAGAGAAAAAGTAAAGGCTATCACTTTTTTCAGTTGTTAGGAATAAATAATATGGTGGATTTATGATTGAAATTAAAAGTATGGAACATGAACTGATCCTAAACTAGTAAGTTGAAATGTATATAAATGCAAAACCTTATATTTACTTATGGAAACCTGTGCATTGCTATAATGAAAGCAAACTAGCATAACATAAATTTATATATTGAAAAGATCTAGGGTTTTCAAACACTAAAAAATGAATAGCCTGTACCATTCCTGTGAGTTCTTCCTTGGATAAACTGTAGTTTATTTCTGCCTGTCTTTAATGTTCCACAGTATTTGTGGAACTAAATTGAAATGATATATAATCACATATAAGCCACTTGAGATTACAGAAATACATTTCAGCATATTTGATGGAAACTGCCTTGATTAATTTATTTAATACTCCAGGAACTATTTGTTGATACTGGTGTTAATAACAACTGGAAAGTGCCATTGACTGATAAAATAGTTAATGTAGAGACTTCTTTAGAGAATAAAAGAAACACAGGTAAACACTAAATCAGTTCCAGATCATGGTTGTCAAAATACAGTCTGTATACACATAGTTTAAGAATGAATGACATATTTTTTGACAAAGCAAAATGTGTTCCTTAAAAAGAAAGTGGTGTAAATTATCTCTTATAAGGATTCTATAGAAAGTGATTAATTGGAAGATAAGTAAGAAAGTATTTACTCCTTAAATACCTGCTTCAAAACATTTTAATTTGTGGTTATAATGTTGACTTTCTGATAAGGTTGACAAATATGTCTAACTTTATTTGTGGAGTTATTTATAATAAATGAAGTGTCTGTGCAATTATTTATAACAAATGAACACGCTTCATCAACCAGTAAGCAACTGATGTGGCTGTAGAATATTCCTAAGTTGGGAAAATAATAAATATCAGAACTGAGTCCATGCTATGTTGAAACAAGCAAAAAGTGTAAGAAAAACGCCAATAAATGAAGCTGTTACTTCATTTTCAGTTTAAGACTTGTATATATAATTCCTCAAAGAGGATTGTGATGGGGTTTGAAATGCAAGCAGACAAAAATATAAAGTGAAAACAGGCTGGGCATGGAGGCTCATGCCTATAATCTCAGTATTTTGGGAAGCTAAGGCAGGAGGATCACTTAAGCCCAGGAGTTTGAAAGCGGCCTGGCCACACAGCAAGACTCCACCTCTACAAAAAAATTTAAAAATTAGACAGGCATGGTGCTATGTGCCTCTAGTCCCAGCTACTCGGGAGGCTGAGGTGGGAGGATTGCTTGAGCCTGGGAAGTTGAGGCTGCAGTGAGCTGTGACAGCACCACTTCACTCCAGCCTTGGTGAGATTTTATATATATATATATATATGTATTTTATATATATATATATGAGATTTATATGTATTTTATATATATACATATATATTTATATATATATATAAAGGGAGAGAGAGAGACAACACCTTGTTTTAAAATAAATATTCATAGACAAGATATTTGGCTTAATCAGTAGAAGTTCCTGGAGAGAATTTAAATTGTCTTTCCACTTTGAAATCGGACCTATAAACGCAGATGCAGGCACATGCTGATAAAGCACATGAGAAAAACAATGACTAGAAGCTTCAGAGCTGACACCTACTAGATTTCATTCTTTCTTTCCTTCATTCATCCATTTGTTCATTTCAACTCTCCAAGTTAGAAAGAAAGAACAATCACTAGATAGTAAAGAAAATGACTGAGAAGGAAGAGAATTACAATACTCAAGTCCTGGATAGAGGCTTAAGTTGGAAATCTAAGTGTAAGGGTTGTTTTGAGGTGGTGCAGCTCATTGTCACTAGGGCTCTTTTGTAACTTACTCACTGTGGCATATGGGTCAGGCAGTCAAGGCAAAGGGTCTCCAATAAACTCAAAGAGGTAAATTAGATGAAAGAGTCAGACACATCCAACATAGATAAAGAGAGGTAACTCCTCTCTGCTTCATTACAGCGAGTGTTTACTTACTCATTCTATGACCTAACATACCTTTACTTAGTGCCTTTTATGTGCTAGGTGCTATCATAGGAGCTTGGAATACAAAGTTGAAAAGACAGAAGCGCTACAGTCAGGTAGGAGAGACAAACATTCCAACAAACAACTGCAATACACATAATCATTGTTAAAGACAGTGGTTCAAGAGTCCAGATATAAGGTGCAATCCAAATAGAGGGTAAGGCAGGAGAAGTGCTTGAACCCAGGAGACCGAGATTGCAGTGAGCCGAGATTATTGTGCCACTGCACTCCAGCCTGGGCGACAGAGTGAGGTCTTGTCTCAACAACAACAACAACAAAAAAAGATAAAGAAAAAAATCAAGAATTCCCAAGTCTGTTCGGGTAAGTCAGAGAGGGCTTCATAGGGGAAACACCACATGGTTTAGTTAACAGATGAATAGGACTTAACCTGCTGGATTCTCAGAGGAAAAGCATGGAAGCAGCTGTTCTGTCCCGTTTGCAGGAGTATGTTTAGTTCAGCACTGCTAAGAGATAAAGAACAGGACTGGAACATATTTGAGAATGGGAGGCAGCAAGGAAACAAATGCTAAAAGTCAGTGATGGGAGACAAAGCGTATGTTTTGGACGCACTCCTTGCCAGATGCTCTTTCATCCTCAAGTCTAGGTCAGTGTTTTTGACCACCTGCATCAGAATCCTCTAGTACCTCACTGTTCAGAGTTTGGTTTGTGAACCAGCAGCATCAGTTTCACCTCGGAGCTTGTTAGAACTTTTCTCCGTCCCACTTCCAGGCCTGTTGAATCACAGTCTGCATTTTAATAAGACCCCCAGGTGATTTGTAGGTACATTTAAGTTTGAGAAGTACTACTCTAGGATACTTGTTAGACATGAAGATGATTAAGAAGGTCTCATCTAGTAAATCAGAATCTTTGGGTTGAGACCTATGCTCCCTAGGAGATTATAATTCAGAGTACATTCGATACTGCTATGGGCAATGGGAAGCTATGGAACAATTTTGAAAAGGAGAGTGACATCCTCAGATTTTCCTATTAGAAAAGGAAACAATACACAAAGTATGATTTGGGGGAATGTTGGTGACACCGTCAAGAGAGAAAGGAGACATCAATTGACAGGAGTGATTTCATCAGAGAACTAGGACTAGAAGCCACACCAAAGCTGTGAAGTGGAATGAGGGGTGGAGTCCAGAATTTCCGCAGTAGATCTGCAAACTCCAACATGTGACAGGCAGGAGGGAAGGACAGTGATGGCTTTGAAAGTGGCTGCGCTTGGACCAAAGTTTTATAACAAGTTTCTCATGTTTGTGACTCACGTTTCTCATTTGAATCACATTGCCAGTGTGAAAGGGGCAAATGTATATTGTAATTAAGTCATGACATTAGAGAGATAGAATGATTTGGAACAGATATTGATTCCTTAAAATGCTTGTCCTTTGGTAACTGGAATAACTTTTTGGAGAAAAGACCTATTTTGTTGAAACTTGCATGTGAGCTTCATGAACTTGAGCAAAATAGAGGTATATTGTATTTAGGGAAATATATGAAAACCAATCCTCATCAGTTTAAGTGAAGTATCATTAAAAAGTAGAGTCTGAGCATTAGGTATGACGAAAAAATAGAGCACAATTTATAAGGAGATGTAGTAAGTTATCTGTCAGAAAGCAGGCTATACTCTGATGAATATACAATGTGCCATCTTCTCTAATAAAAGGCTAACAACAAATTAGTTTCTCCCCTCCTTTCTGTACTTAATCAGTGGTGTTCCATTACCAAACTACAGTTTTGTTTTGTTTCTATCCTGCACCTTAGTCTTTAAAGTTGTTGAGTTTTCAGGTCAGCTTAATAATTCTGTCAGAACCAAAGGACCCACAGCTGTCACAAAAGTCTCAGTAGAAATTGGTCTCACATAGTATTCTCAAGAGTTTAGATGAGTTTCATCTAAACTTCTAAAGCAGTTAAAATTTCTCAAGTAGTAGACTAGATAGAAAAGAAAATAACTGAGAGAGTGTTAAAACCTACATGTTCTGAATAGGGAGATCAGTCAGATGTAGAAATGTGGGGTATTTTGAGGGATGCAGATAAGCAACACTCAGACTCTTACATCTCAGTCGCCAGTGACATGTGCCACTGGAGAAGAACACATTAGTCTGGAGGAGGGCATAGAGCCTTCTGATTTTCTAGCACCGAGACTTGCAGGCACAGGTCTCTCAGCACTGTCTGGGCTCTGCCAATGCAGCCTGGGTGCTTCCTGCACAGCTACTGAAAAGAACCTTGGTATGTAGGGAATAAGTTTTTATTCTGGAGTTTCCTGTACCCTCGGGATTTATCCATTTTATTTACAGACTTCATCTAACTTTTAATATAGTTTAATATTTGGTAGATAACAACCAACTAGATGAGAAATTACACTATTAAATATATTTAACCTTGCTAACAAAGCTTTCTTACAGATATGCTTTCAGATCAAGCACATTTGTTGCAATTATCCTTTACCCATCTATAAATATTTCAACTACCTACTCTTAACTACCAAGTTCAAGATCTGCAAAACAGTTCAGTAAAAATGAGTAGGGCTATGAAAACAGTCATAAACAGGGTAGGGCCAGGAAAAGTAGTAATTATACTACTGAATGCTTTAGATTGGAGCTAATTATGGTAGAAATACAAACCAAAGCTTCAGTGCCAGAGTTCAAATACAATTCCCTAATTAAAATTGAGTTTTGTATTGACTGATAGTGATAAGATACAGCAAAATAAAAATTATCCATTCTTCACATACGATTGCGAAGGCCTTTAGGAAGACCTTCGCAATCGTATGTGAAGAATGGATAGTTTTGGCACTTCTGTAAATTGCTGGTGGGTGTGCACCTTAGAGAAACCTTGATTGAGGAATTGCATGTTTTGGGAATCTACCACACAGAATTACTTGCACATGAGTGTGAAGATAATGTATATGAGAATATTTACTTCAATTCTGTTTTTCCCATGAAAAGTTGGATTCAAATTGAAAATCCATTAAAAGGAACTTAGTTGAAAAAATTAAGGTGCATGGGACACTATGCAGCCTTTAAATAAAATGAAGTAGAAGGGGATGCAATTGCACTAATCATATAGTATAATATGCACATGCATATATATCAATCATATAGTATAATATACAAATGCATATATATCAGTGTCAATATACACATAATAATGTCTGGAAGAATATGTTCCAAGTAAATAGTAGAGCTTAGTATTGGAGATGACAATGAGTGACAGAGAAGATTGACATATTAGCTTATACACCTACATACTGTTAAATTTAAAAAATAGCAGTTAAGTATTACTTCCATAATTAAAATTACAAAGAAATTTTTTCAAAATAAATATTTTAATAGATTTTAAACTCTAAGTCCTTAACTTAGTAACTGACAAATTAAGTAAAAGCCTCAGAATTAAAGTTTTAGGTACCTGCAACTTGTAATTGGCTTTTAAGAAAGAACATATGAAATCTACTTTTCATGCCAATCAAGTTCTGTCCCTCCCACGCACAAGGGGGAATTTGTGCCGGGTATGAATTGACATATTTCACTTGCTAGCACTGAAGCATTTGGCTTTGATTAGAATCCAACTTAAATATTTACTTTATATTCACAAAATAATGAGAAATGAAACGACACTCTGGAGATTAAAATGCATATTCTTGAACAGAGAGGGGGAGGATTATAACACATGACTATGAATACAATCACTGGATTTAAAAAACACAGAACAATTCCTGTTGAATTAAAGCTCCACATTCCAGTTCCCTAACTAAAACTGTCCAGGGGAAATCATAAAGCTTTTTCAATAAATACAGTATAAGCACCTAATCTAGTTCCCTTATGACAGAATAAAGACATATTTTAAAAATATACTTTTTCAGTAGAGAAGTGGAGATTTCTATAATATTTAAAAATTTGAAGTACTTTTACAGGAAAATAGAGGTTAACACAATATTCCTTAATGATGATAGGCAGGCAACATAGCATATAAAGAAGAACCATTTAGTGTTTTTATCTTAAAAGTCCTTATAACAATTCACTTTCTCATCAGCTGTGGCCTACCCAGGCAAAGCTAAATGAAAAACAAAAAATAGATATAAATGAATGATTTGAGGAAATAATTACTTTGGCCTGACATATCTAGACATTTTAGAAATGAGTCTGCCACGTTAATGAAATTATCAAGATAATCTTGTGCGCTCCATTTTATCTTTTCACTTCACTGACCAGGACTGTGTGCACATAGCTGAGAGTGGACTTTATGTTGACTGCTATTCATCATAAAGCCTCATGGCAATGGCCTGTATGGGCCCTTTCAGATGCTTAACCATGTGTATACAATGCTACCATCTGACTGTGTCTGAAAGAATGGCAGGATTTTCCCTGTTGGCATTTCATAACTAACAAAAACATGACCTGCTTTCATATCAGAGTACCTCGTTCCTCCATAAACATATCTTGAATTTCAGTTGGGTTTTCCTCCCTGAACCCGAGATGGACACTATGCCAGGATAAGAAGCAGGAGTTTTTTACAATCATTGGAAAATTTGAAAGCTCGTGGTTGGAGATTACATTCATTTTGTTCAGTTATTGCCTTTGAAATCCTGCATTCTGATATTGTGTTCTTGTATAACATCTTTTGTTATTGCTCTACCACTTTGATGAAATGGAAATAACCACTCTTGAATATAAGAAAATTGCCCTTTTGATATTTTGAGTTTTGGTAAACTCTAAAACTATAAGGATTATAAGATGCTCAGGAAGTGCTGCTAGTTTTAATGAGGAGTTCCCAGAGAAAACTCAACTCTATCAAAAATGTTTTGAGCAGCATAGACAATCAGATCAAACTTGGACAAAGGTATTATCTTAAACATTTATCTTAAAACATAAAACCTTCCAGTATTCAGAGAAATACAGCTGTTTCAAATGTTCCATTTTTTCCATAAAATAATAAAATTCAAAAAGTTTAGCTTTACATATTTCCAATCTTTACCTTGCTTCCAATAATAAAGATGAGAAAAATAAATGAAGAGGCTGTTAAACCAGGCATTTGTAAAGATTTATCTTTCTCCATTGAATCACTTACTTTGAAATGACATTTAAAACTCCAGAATGGTTTAGGCAGGTATGAGACAAAGTTATTTTTATATTTCAAGAAGACAGCTTTATAAAATAGTAACAAAAGGCTTTTCACAATATATTATGCAAAGAATAATGAAGTTGTATTAAACACCAATTTAAAAATATATTGAAACTTGTGGAGAATTTGGTCTTATAAAACTAATGTACTGATTGAAATAACAATTCTTTTTCTATGAACAAGCTAATGAGGCCCAACTCTTTCTGGAGTGAAATACATGACTGAGCAAAATTCATGGAAAAAGATAAATCCCTTGAGATCTCAATTTATATTTTATTTTATTTTAGAACTCCTACTCTACAACATTAATTCCAAGGTAGATATATATTAGACACTGCTCTTTTTCCTTCTTAAACAAGTAATGTGTTTGATCTTAAAGAAACTTACCACATAGCTCTTCTGTGTCAAGATTGCTGAAAAGATGAAAAAAAAAATGTTATTACTTTGGTAATATTTTTAACTAAGGTTTAAAATAGTTACATAGTCTCCAGTCTATATTGCTAATTGATGGTATGTAATTAGGGTATTTTTCTTACAAATTCTCTATTATTTAAATAGTCATAGGTCAATTAACAATGATCATGTCAGATTCTTTAGACAAATAATTTCTGAGATTTGTGTTTCCCTCTGCAACATGATGGGAAAATTAATGTACTTTGGTAAAGAATATAGGCTCTGGAGTCAGAATGCCTGAGTTCAAATCCTGACTCTGCAATTTACCTTCTATGTGACCCTGGGTACTTTATATCTCTGCGTTTCAATTCATCTGACCTAAGATGGGGATAATAATAATAATTTCTGGTTTATGGGATGTTGTAGGGTTTAAATGAATTAATACAGAAAGCCCAGGGCCGGGTGTGGTGGCTCATGCCTGTAATCCCAGCACTTTGGGAGGCCGAGGCAGGTGGATCACGAGGTCAAGAGATCGAGACCATCCTGGTCAAGATGGTGAAACCTCGTCTCTACTAAAAATACAAAAAATTAGCTGGGCATGGTGGCACGTGCCCGTAATCCCAGCTACTCAGGAGGCTGAGGCAGGAGAATTGCCTGTTCCCAGGAGGCAGAGGTTGTGGTGAGCCGAGACTGCGCCATTGCACTCCAGCCTGGATAACAAGAGCGAAACTCCGTCTCAAGAAAAACAAAAACAAAAACAAAAACAGAAAGCCCTTAAAACTGTAAGGCACAAAGTAAGCACTTGATGAATGAGCTATTATGAATCCCGACTTGATAGAATTGCTAGAATTTCCAACCTAAAGTCAATCTTTGAGGTAAGTTTGTGTCAATGCTTATTTCATATGATTTCTAAAACAAAATGAAAAATTACATTAGTTGTAAACTATATAAACCTATTATTCTTATGAAGGCAAGTGCAAAACATTAAGATGAAATGTTAGCAATATAATACATGACTGTCAGAAGAATAATGTCCTTTACCAAAAAAGGTATGGTATGGGAAGGCAGGTAGTTCAATATCAGATAATAAACTGATGTAACTTATTATACTATAACTTAAAGGAGAAAAATGATCATATTAGCAAATTCTAAATGGGAATAAAAAAATTGAACAGTAATTCATAATTTTTAAAAAATTTAAAGAAAATAGAACTCAACCTTGTCAAGATGCTGAAGGCTATTAAAGAGCAACTGCAAACATTAGTAGTTAACTAGAAATGGCTTTATACAGTTGTCACATGTTAATGCTCAATGTAGATATTCTTCCTAATCCAGTTGTCCGGTGGCCAGCAGACACATTGGTATGAACATTCCAAGCATTGAGTACTTTTACCAGCTCTGTCAGTCATTTTTAAAAGTTATTTTAAACTAAATATTGCATTCTAGACACAAAATATTTGATCTTAGATAAATTATATCTTCATAACTAAACGAATCTTCTTGTAAAGTAATATTTGCCACCAGGTGGAATATGTTAAGTCTTCTCCAGTAATTTTGGTCTGGTCTCCTATTCATTCATTCACTCATTCCACAAACATTTATTGCTATGTGCCAGGCATTATTCTAAGTGCCATAGATGTATGAGGTTGCAATAGTTACAGAGATCAATCTGTCAGATTGCTTGTGCCTAGAATCTTAGCTGAGACATAGACTCATAAAGTACATAAATAATTCAAATGCAATAATATAGCTGTTATGGGGGAAATAGAGAATTGGCAAAAGGTGTCAGGAAATATATCATAGAATATAAAATTGTGAAGCTAAATCTCAAAAATTAAATTGTTGAGCTAAATCTCTAAACAGGAGTAGAGGAGGCAGCCAAAGGAAGAACATCATTAAAAGAAACACTGTTTATAATCAAAATAAAAGTATGAAGAGCATGTCATTCAGTTTCAGAAAACTGAGTAGTTTTTTTTATTGGTTAGAACATAGATCAATAATGAGAAAATGGAACTACACAATGAAAGGTCTCATATGATCACCTAAGAAGTTTCTACTTTACCTTTCTGTCAATTAGGAATTATAGAATAATTTTTAAAAGGTTAATAACATGGCCATATTTGCACTTTAAATAGGCCACTGACAGATGGGTTGAGGTCGCACAGTGTTTTAGTCTGTTTTCACATTGCTATAAAAAAAACTGGGCTGGGCGCGGTGGCTCACGCCTGTAATCCCAGCACTTTGGGAGGCCAAGGTGGGTGGATCACGAGGTCAAGAGATCGAGACCATCCTGGTCAACATGGTGAAACCCCGTCTCTACTAAAAAGACAAAAAATTAGCTGGGCACGGTGGCGTGTGCCTGTAATCCCAGCTACTCAGGAGGCTGAGGCAGGAGAATTGCCTGAACCCAGGAGGCGGAGGTTGCGGTGAGCCGAGATCGCGCCATTGCACTCCAGCCTGGGTAACAAGAGCGAAACTCCATCTCAAAAAAAAAAAAAACAAAAAACAAAAAAAAACTACCTGAGATTGGTAATTTATAAATAAAAGAGGTTTAATTAGTTTGCGATTCCACAGACTGTACAGGAAGCATGGCTGAGGAGGACTCAGGAAACTTACAATCATGGCAGAAGGCAAAGGGGAAACAAACACCTCTTACATGGTGGGAGCAGGAGGAGGAAAGAGAGAGTGAATGGGTAAGTGCTACACACTTTCAAACAACCAGATCTTGTGAGATCTCATCACTATCACAAGAACAGCAAGAGGTAAATCTGCCCCCATGATTTAATCATGTCCCACCAGGTTCCTCCCCAACACCGGGGATTAGAAATTCAACAGGAGATTTGGGGGAGACACAGAGCCAACCATATCATTTCTCCCCTACCTCTCCCAAATCTCATGTCCTTCTCATATTGCAAAATATGATCAGCCTTTCTAACAGTCCCTCAAGTCTTAACTCATTTCAGCATTAACTTAAAAGTCCAAGTCGAAAGTCTCAACTTAGACAAGGCAAGTCCTTTCCACCACTGAGCCTATAAAATAAAAAACAAATTAGTTACTTCCAACATACAATGGGGGTACAGGCATTGGCTAAATACTACTGTTTCAAAAGGGAGAAATGGGCCAAAACAAAAAGGGCTACAGGTCCCATGGATGTTTGAACTCCAGCAGGGCAGTCATTAAATCTTAAAGCTCCTAATCTTTTTTGAATGCGTATCTGATATCCAAGCCACAGTGATGTAAGGGGTGGCCTCCCAAGGCCTTAGACAGCTTCAGCCCTGTGATTCTGCAGGGTCCAGCCCCTGTGACTGCTTTCATAGGCTGGCATTGAGAACCTGTGGCTTTTCCAGGTCCAAAGTGAAAGCTGTCAGTGGATCTACCATTCTGGGGTCTGGAGGATGATGGTCCTCTTCTCACAACTCTAGCAGGCAGTGCCCCAGTAGGGACTCTATGTGTAGGCTCCAACCATACATTTTTTCTCTACACTGCCCCAGTAGAGGTTCTCCATGAGGATTCTACTCCTGCAGCAGACTTCTGACTGGACATCCAGGCATTTCCATTCATCCTCTGAAATCTAGGCAGAAGCTTCCAGCCTCAAGTCTTGCCTTCTGCACACTTGCAGGCTCAACACCATGTGGAACTTGCCAAGGCTTTGGACTTGCACCCTCTGAAGCAACAACTAGAGCTGAACCTTGGTCCCTTTTAGCCATGGCTGGAGCTGTAGTGACTGTAGCTGTGATGCTGAGGCTGCACAGAGCAGCAGGGTGCTAGGCGTGGTCCATAAAACAATTTTTCCCTGCTAGGCCTCCAGGTCTATGATGGGAGGTTCTGCTACAAAGGTCTCTGAAATGCCCTGGAGGCATTTTCCCCATCGTTTTGCTTGTTTACCTTTGGCTCCTCTGTACTTATGCATACTCCTGCAATTGTATGCATACATCTGCAGAAAATGGGTTTTTCTTTTCTACCACATGGGTGGGCTGTCAATTTTCTAAACTTTTGTGTTCTGCTTTCCTTTTAAATAAAAGTTTCAGTTTCAGATAATCTTTGTTCACACATAAGACCATATACGCTTAGAAGCAGCCAGGTCATACCTTGAATGCTTTGCTGCTTAGAAATTTCTTCTGCCAGATATCCAAAATCATCTCTCTTAAATTCAAACTCCACGAATCCTTAGAAAAGGGGCAAAATGCTGCCAGCCTCTTTGCTAAAGTACAGCAAGAGTGACCTTTACTCCAGTTCCAATTAAGTTCTTCATCACCATGTGAAACCATCTCAGCCTGGACTTCACTATCTATATCACCACAGACATTTTGGTAACCACCATTTAACAAGTCTTTAGGAAGTCCCACTTTCCCTCATCTTCCTATCTTCTTCTGAGCCCTCCAAACAGTTCAAAGATCTGCCCATTACCCAGTTCCAGAGTTGCTTCCACATTTTCAGTTATCTTTATAGCAATGCCCCACTTCTCCGTTACCAATTTTCAGTATTAGTCCCTTCTTCCAGTACTATAATGAACTACCTGGGACTGTGTAATTTATGAAGAAAACAGATTTTATTAACTCAAGTTTGGAAGGCTATACAGGATGCACAACTGGAGAGGTCCCAGGAAACTTACAATTATGGCAGAAGGCAAATAGGAAGCAAACATGTCTTATATGGCAGGAGCAGGAGAAAGAGAGAAAGTGAAGAAAGTGCTACACACTTTCAAACAACCAGATCTTGTGGAATAACATCAAGGGGGAATTCCATCCCCATGATCTAATCACCTCCCATCAGGTTTCTCTCCCAACATTGGGGATTATAACTCAACATGAGATTTGGGTTGGGACACAGAGCCAAACTAATGCAGACAGAAAAAGGGTGAAAAAGAGAGCAAGATAAAAGTTTGCAAGTTGCTATTACAGTCTGTGCTAGTTCTCAGAGTGGGGAATATAACTCAAGTGGTATACAAGGCCAGCCACTGAAGGGGCAAGAAAAAATAATTGAACTTCCATGTGTATTTACATTTACTATTAAACTTTTT